ATTCTTCGTCAAGGATACGTAAACGAACAATTATTTTAATCTCTAACCTTTTTTTTTTTTTCATTTTCGTTGTATTCTTTTTTTTTTTTTATTGTTATTAAGTCGAATGAAGTTAAGTTGAACAATAAAATTCCATCCGCGATGTTGGACTAGAAGATTTTAAAATTTTTTTCGTTATTAAAGCGGAGAGCAAAAAGAGATGAGATTTTTAATATTTTGCATTTTGCTGGATTCGTAAACGAGCTTCGTTCAGTTGGAACTTTAATCTCGTCGAACTGGAAGTGCACAGATGCGCAAGTCTCTCTCTTTTTTTTCTTTCTTCTAATTTTTTTTTTTTTTTTTTTTAATGGGAATCAGTTAGATGATTTGAAATAACTATCCTGCAATAAATATACGTTTATATTATATCGAAAAATTGTTTTAATAATTCGGTGATATTTATTCTTAATATCTATTCGTTAAAAATGCATGGATAAAGTTTGTCACGATTTATTATAATTTGAACGAGCTTAAATATTCTTTTGTAAAAAATTAATGAAGAGAAATAATCTTTAATAAAATTGTTATTATTTTTATTTAAATCAAATTTGTTTTCGAATATAAGACATAGACCTAAAAGAAATTGTGAAATTGAGAGAGCAATATAATATAACGTATATATTTATAATTATAAATATTTATGTCATTTTATCAAAATTAATACAAGATTAAAATCATAAGAATTGTTCCCAAGTATAATAATAATTTCAAGGATTATTTATATCAAAGATTTCATTCGTGTCATCAATAATAGTACTTTTAAGCAATGGAATTTAACGTTCAATCTGTTACGTTTTGATAAATGATAACCGCTTGGTATTCTGGAATTCTGAGTTTTATACGAAAAGAATTACCCGTGTCTCATTTTGACGTCGATTTATAGCACTGCAGACGCCCGATGTATTGTACTAACCTTGTCTTCAAATCAGTGTATTCCCTATCATTCAAACTTTTTCCTTTAAGTTTTGAATTTTGTAAAATAAAATATTAAATCTTGAAGTTATAATATACGAACAATCACCAGTGAATTATTTACCAAAGGATTCTTCTCACTAATTTTAATGATTTTCAAATATCAAGCTCAACATTCTCTATAGATGTCTTCGCGAAAAATTAACCATAACTTTATAATGAATTTTTAATAATTGTGACAACGTATTGGTCGGATACAATAAACTGATCTAACTTTGTTTTTTCTTTACAATATGAGAATAATAATCTTGATATTAAATTTTTAAAGTATTATCGATAATCGTTAACGTTATTAATATAATTATATAAATTCAAGTAATATAAAACGTATCGCAAATGTTAGAAACATCATTTATGATATCGAGTATATTTTTGTTTATATATTATTTTGGAAACTAACAGTGGATTAACACGTATAGGGAAAAATAGTTTAAAATCATGTCTTTGATAATATATTTCGTTATCATTGAAATCGATAAGGAATATTATTTTATAAATAAATTATATGCAATATTTTATTATTTTTATTTGATTAAAATTTTGTGAAAATGCAGGATTTTACGATTATATCGATCGATTTTCTTGGAGAAAGGGAATAAAATTTGAAAATTCGTGGAAAAGCGATAAAAGATTTAACGACTTTCCAGTTAAAATACATTCGTATAAATACATTTAATTAAAATTGAAATACGCTTCCGTGCAATTTTTCTGTTGATGTTATTTTCGCATGAGATACTTTTCACCACATCGTTGGCATTTTATGCGAAAATGTTTCTTTCTTTTTGCAGGCGAAAATTGGAAAAATGTTCCATGTTATATGGCGGATACGATGGATTTGTAATATCGTAATAAATGCTCTTAATTCAAAATACATGTATTTATAAAGATATACATGATATATTTACGACAAAATAATTTTATATTACGATATTATATTATTTATTCCTTTTATATTTTTTACTTATTATTTAAAAATTATTAATCATCTCACGTTTTATGAGAGAATTTTATTTATCATTACGTTGTTATAATGATGCAATATATTTTTTTGTTTTATATCAAATATAATATACAATTGATTTTATATTCCATTTAATAATAAAAAAAAAAAAACTCTTGTAACTGTATTCTTTTTATTTTTCGTGAAATTTTTTTTTACAATTATCTTAAATCTCAATAATTATTCTCTTAAGTGATCTGGTACAAATAATTATATCAGTCATCGATAGTTTTTTTTGTAATTGATTCGTTCAATATTGGAAAAAATTAATTAATTCAACTTTAAATATAAATTTTATATTAAAAAAATATAATATATACAATAAGTTTTTAATAATTGATCAAAGATTTTAGGGATCAATTAATACACAGTGAATATCATACAGATTTTTGAAAAAAGATTAAATTTGTTTTAATTATATTAGTGAAAAATTAAATGAACGCATGATTAACAAACTAAATTATCTTATCGCTTAATATCTATTGATAATTGTAATTTTAAAAATTTTTATGATCTAATGATGTAAATATAAAATGCACAAATTTATCAATACGTCATAAAACAATTGGAAATTAAATAATTTTCAAATATTTTTTACATAAATACTTGATAAAGAAAAATTCAAATTTAGTAGAAAATAAATTAATCGTTTTTAAATGCTGTCTCAAGATAGATACGCGTTTCAAAATTCAAATCTGTTAAATAGTTTAAACATTTGTTTCTGTCTTCAGATCATTTGAGTAAAAATTTTAATTATTGACGTTCCAAATACGTAAATTTAACGTTTCAATTTTGTGAAAATTTAATATTTAAATATATATATATATATATATATATAATATTTACTTTTCTATCAGTTTACGTTATAAATTTTGCCAAATATAATTTTATCGATAATTTCAAAAAATATATGCAAAATGAATTAAACATTGATTCAACGATGGAAATAGACTAAACGCACCTGCCGATTCATTTTATCATCAAGAATCACGACCACGATGCGTTTCGCTCGAGATGCGCTCGTTGCAGAACGTAATATCATTTCGCGCGTTGCGTTTCAGCCGGAAAATTGAAAGAAAAACAAGATTCGTTCATAAAAAAGAGACGAGTGTCAAAGAAATTCCGAGAACGAGAGATCTCTCGATGGAGTTTTAATGCTTTTGGAGTTTTAATATTCACATGTATGCTTATCTCTGAATTATCAATCATTTAGACACGTAGATATAATTTATGTAAATGCATCCACGATAAAATTACTCTAATTATTAATATCTTAGTAGTTTATAGATATAATTTAAAAGTATCACAAATTAATATTAATACTTTAATATTTTTTGCGAATTAATTTTAAACATTGAAAAATTATAATTTATCGATATTATATTTTTCTCTTTAATTCTTTCTTAATAAAATTTTTGTTATTTTATTACGTGAAACTTAATAAATTTTAAATGAAAATTAATATCAAATTACTTCTTCTATAGAAATTTTGTTCTTTGATTTTTTATATATTGATTTATTTTTTTTATATTTGATTTAAATATTATTTAAATATTCTGGACACATCTGTTATTTTTAAAAAAAATTAATTTAAAAATAAATTTTCGATTCATTTTACGAGTCAGATTAATTTAATTTTCAATTATCGGTTTTTGATAAAAGTAAAATTCCAGTATGCATTGATCTTAATGATGATAAGCAAACAAAAATGATAAAAATACGATCTAATGACAACAATTTGCCAAAAATAAAAATTAAAAAAATGCATTATCATTTTACGAGTCAGATTAATTTTCAATTATCACTTATCAGTTTTTAATAAAGGTAAAATTCCAGTATGCATTGATGATAAGCGAACAAAAATGATAAAAATACGATCTAATGATAACAATTTGCCAAAAATAAAAATTAAAAAAAAATGCATTATCATTTTACGATTAATCGGATTAATTTTCAATTTAATTTTACTTAATTTTCAATTAAGTTATCAGTTCTTAGTTTTTGATAAAAGTAAAATTCCAGTACGCATTGATCATAATGATGATAAGCAAACAAAAATGATAAAAATAATGGTGACAATCTGCCAAAACTAAAAATTAAAAAAAAAAATGCATTATCATTTTTGTCGAGAAAACTTTCGAGAGATTTTTCCATTAAAAATGGTTTCTATGATATATATAGATTTTGTTAATCATGTTTGTAATACAAAGTTTGAATAATTCGAATAATCGATTTAAAAATTGAATATGTCTGTTGCAGTGGCTTCAAGGAATTTTTGGAATGCTCACACCATACGGTCCGCCGACAATGTGGCGATGACACAGCTCGATTTGCAAAGGATTTCCTTGACAGAATGTCGAGCTCGCTTCTCAGGGTAAATATTTGCCACTTTTGCTTCGGCAGAATTTGTTGTCACCGTAACGAGGTATACGTTCCATCGTGTAGTCGTTCAGCTATGTCGAAATTGCTTAAAATATATATTTACTGACTCAAAGTAGTGAGAAATACTACTGCATATCGTTGGAAGAAAATCCCTCCATTTCTTTATAAAAATAAAATCGATAAAAACTGCAAGTTTTTCGATTTTTTTTTTTTTTGCTTCGAGTTGTCTATCCTTTTTTATATATATTCTTGCATGTATAATTTATCGTGTATAAAAAGGATGTTTTTTTCAAATTCATATTTGTGCAATCAAATTAAAGATATCTAATTAAAGATCGCGGTAAGATATTAATATATACGAGTTTTATTTATTTTTGAATGTTAGCAACTTTTGCACTTTCAAATTTTTTTTTGAAAAACACAGAAATTCACAGCACGATTATTATTCTTTGAAATTTTTTGCTTTGATAAAAATAATGGATATTGCATGTTATATGGAATATAATTAAACTCATATCTTTTTAAAAAGATATATATATATAGATATATACGTATATATAAGAATGTTAATAAAAAAAATAAAAAAATTTGATATCTTTGTAGAGTCAATTATAAAAATCAATCAAAATAAATACAAAAGTGAATAATATTAAAATGTCGATTAAAGTATAGTTTAGAAGTAGATAAGATAAAAAAAATGGCATCTAATTGATTTTGATAATTTTTGGATATATTGTAGAGGACAAAATTTTAAATAAATTTTAAATAAGATTTTTTTTATGCACACGAATTGCTTTTAGCTTTCGAAATATTTGCAAAAAAAAAAAAGAAGAAAAAAAAACAGGTTAACAGAAAAATTTTTCCACGAATATTCAGAGCATAATAATTTATACATATATGTATGGAATAATATTTTTTTTAACAAAATATCATTTTATAGAGATGAAATTAACGTTCAAAGTTTTGATGTGTTTTTTTTTTAATATATCATCTTTGATATAGGGAGCAAAATTTTTTTATGAAAAATGTTTTAATTTTTAGTGTTCTATCATCTTGTTGAAAAAAAAAAAAAAATTCTCACACAAAGTTTATACCACGCAACATGAAAAAATGCTGAAACTTTGGAGATTGATTTCATTACCTCAAAGAGATTTTCCATCAAAAATATTCCATATCGTATTATAATTTAAAAAATATAAATTCATTATGCTTTACACGCATTCAAACTTTAATTAAAATCAAAATTATCGAGTTGAAAAAATGAATTTCGTTATAAAATAACGCATAATGAATTTTATGAATGATTATATTTACAGTATAAGTGGAATTTTATAAAAGAATCATTTTGTATATTTAATAATTTGATATTAATAAAAATAATATAAAAATTTGCAAAAATAAAAAAAAAATTGTAGAAAACGTCATATTGATTCAATATTGATTAATTATTTAATTAATAAATGTTTATATTTAAACATATTCATTAGAATAGAATGTAAAAATCATGAAATAATTAATATTTTTTTGATTTATGCATTTGACACGTGTCCAATTCTTTTTCGAAATTTCAGACATTTTTCTGCGAAAAAATACAAAAGAAAAACTAGACGAACTAAAAGATTGTCAAAAGATTCAACTTATAGATAAAACAAAAATTGTTTTGTGAAAAATTGATTGACAGATTTTTAGTATTGTTGAATGGTAGATGGTAGATTGTACGACAAACACGAAAACATTTTGGTCACGGCGCGTTATATATATGTAAAATTTTTTATTGTTATTGAAAAGATTAAAAATAGCTTGCGTAATAGAATAAAATTATTCTATAAATATAAACTTCGAGGATACTTGGTGCTTATGTAAATATATATTATGCAATTTTCTTCTTTGTTGGTGAAAATCACTTTAAGGGGATGATTGATCAAAATTGAAAATTGACAAACTATGGAAAATGGAACTACAGAAAAAGTTGTTTCTTTTCTTTTCTTTTCACTATTGCCTGATAAAATGACTAATTATTTATACAATTAAAAATAAATTATAAATAAAAAGAATTAATAATTCTTTTTTAAAATTGTTTTTAATAAATACAGCTTTTCGTTGCTAAATTTTCAAAAGAAGAATAAAAAAGAAACTTATACATATAACCGTTTTATAAGATTTTCTTATTTTTAATGTAGTCGTAAAATTTTTTAATTTTTAATATCATCAGATTGAATAAAGAACGGACGAAAGCATACAAGTAAGTGAATAACATTATGAATTATTCTTTATGGTGGATATAAAATCCTCCAAAAAATGTTGTAATGTATTAAAAATAAAAATTCGTAAGAATTCGTCGTAAGAATTCCTGTTGTAAAGAAACAAATTTACACATCGTGTAATATTTTGGTGACAAAAGTTGATTGTGAATGATAAAAACTGTAATTTAATGATATTATTCTATGCATGTAGATCAATGTCATAGTTATGCAATACAACAACAAGATCGGAAAATTTCCATATAAAGTTCTTCTATATGTGAGAATAAGTCAAAAAGGTTATATCATTCCTGTGATTTTCTTTCTTATTTTAAATATTTCTGCATGGCTAATTTAGACGGTATATCGTTTCGTAATACACTTGTCCAAGGATCCAATAATAAAATACTCTGAGATTCTGCATTTGTTAGATAAACATTTTAATTACTTATTAAACAGTTAGTTAATTTTTCAAATGTGGAGGCCGTTCCATGGTAAAAACAAAGATTGTTCTGTACATAGATCGAAATCACCATTTTGTTTCTTTCGATGGCTATATTAAAAACGAAAATGATTTTTTAAAATAGTTATGCGTATAAGTTTCTTCTTTTTTTTCTATTCCATCTGATCCAATAAAGACAGAAATATATGATATAAATTTTTAATTATTATTACCATTTTCGAAAACTATTTATTCTGTTTTTTCATATCATCGCACAATTAAAACTTCAACAATTTTTAAAATTTATTGCGAAACAAATTACTAATTCTTTCGTTTATTCTTTTTTTTAATCATATATAGTCCTCGCGAAAAGAAACAACTTTTGTTTAAAAAACCTTTTCTCGTATTCCTTATAATTTGCGAATTATAAAAAGTAAAATCGAATAATAACCGAATTGATTTTACACGTATATTTTCCAACTTTTCCAATGTTTTAATGACAATAACAAAATGAAACGTACCATTAACCTACCCAGAATTATGCGATACACATCGAAAACAACGAATAAATCACGATAGCATTGCACCGATCTACTACGTCTAAATGCGAATGTCCATCGAGAGAAATCGTTGAAAATTTAATTCGACGCAATTCTTCCACACCGATCGACAAAAATCGATCCTTCCTTCCTTAACACGTTAACCAGCGTGATTTCGTTGAGGCCCAAATGTTACCGAAGAACGTAAACAGAGCGATAAACGAAAATAGTTTTAATATCTTTACTTTGTATATTTTAATATAAAATTTAGTTGGGATATATTTATATTAGTTCTTAGTCTTCATTAACTAATACCGATTCTGAATTAGTTGTTTTCAGTGTCTCTACTTCTACTTCTTCGCTCCCTACTTCGTTCGTTTCCAAAGTCAATTTTAAGTATTTTGCTTATGAATATAAGCCTCTAATTGGCAACTCCAACTCAGTTCTATATTATCGGTGCATATAATAACACCCTCCTATGTTACCATATAATTTTAGATTTAAAATTGTATAAAAGTGCAGAGCGATTCGCTACCAAATCATACTTGTCTCTCTTCTCTGTTCTCTATTGTTCTTAAATTTTAAATTCTGTCATTCCAAAGTATATGTTATATTTATGTTTCAGTGCTTGTTCCATTAAATTCCTTTTCAAAACTCATTCACATGTCGCCATACAATCCTATATTTTATTATTATACATATATATCTACATTAACAAATATATGTATAATATAATATAACATTCTAGATGGCTCTTCTTACTTGACTGATAACCTTCTTCGATATAAACACAAATATAAATGGTTAAAATTCTTTTTTTTTTTTTTTTTTTTTTTTTAAGAAGAAGAAGAAGAAGAAAGCGTCGCCCTCAAATCCTTAATTTAACCTTTACGTAATTTTCGTAATGATTGCAGGTACACTGCGCCCCGTACACCGACGAGGTGTGCGCGATCGGGAATAGCGCCAGCGTGTACAGGATTCAGGCTATAGTGATCGTGGTGGTTGCGGTGCTCGCGACGTACTTCACGTAAGCGATTAAATGGCACTCGTATAGCCGGAAAAAGGGGACGATTTCCGTGCATCACGAGCGTCGTGCTGAAACCGGGGCCCTCCGTTCGTTCTCCGCTTCGGATTCGCCAGAGTTTTTTTTTTTTTTTCATTTTCCAACCGAGGAGGAGAGAAGAGAAAGAGAGAGAAAGAGAAAGAGGAAGGCACGTGCACGCGAACTCCGAGTGGGTATTATAACGCGGGGGACAAAGATGAAGGAGAAGGAGAAACGAAGGAGAGGAGGAAAAGTTAAGGAAAGCGAATAAACTGGTTGGACGCGATCAAAGAGACGGCGGGAGGAAAGTTGGGCCGTTTCTCCGCACGCCTTCCAACTTCCTCGCCGCGTTCGTGCGTTCTCTTTGACACAGAACGCCCGGGGAAAACAAAGGGGAGAAGGGAGGAGACGTGCTTTCGGACACGGTGACGAGCTTAATCAAGCAATCAGAGGGCACGTGCGCAAGAATGAACGTGTTCGTTCGGTTCCCACCCACTGGGCCTCGAAAATGCTTGAAAATCGATCGGAACCACGCGAGTTGGATCAATGGCCGAGTTGGAGGGGGAGGAAAAAGTCGAACAACGGCTGGATCTAGTCGTGCCGTACCTTGCTTACGTTTCAGCTTTTATTTATCAAATAGTTGCTCTGTTTGAGTATTCGTCATCCGTAGCAAGAGAGGAAAAAAAGAAGAAAAATTGAAAAAAAAAAATTCAGCTTGGAAAAATGTGTCTCGCGTGAAAGAGAGGGAGAGAAAGCGTGGATACATTTTTATCAGAGGGGATCGAGTCGAATGAATGAATTCGAGGAACAATAGTGGCACGAAGGAAATAAAAATATAGAAATCGTGTGTGACGCGTAAGAAATGGAATTTTTAAAGTGTCGCCAAGCGTCACCAATTGTCGAAGAATCGTTTTGAAACCTGCTTGAAACGGATTTAACTTCGAAGTTAGAGAGATTCTTTGCTCGCTATAATCCATCGAAGAAAGGAAATGGAGAAGGAAGAAACGAACACAGAAATTATCGACAAAAAGTGTATATCTTCGACTGGTCGACGTTTCTGTTTTCAAAGCAAACACGATGGGACGAGTTGCTGGGATAACTTGTGAGACAACACAGACTTTTCTTACCGATATTAGGTGTTTCTGAGGATCGAGGATGAAGGAACCCAATTCGCGGGGAAGATTGATATCACGATATCAGACCTTCTTGATTTTCTGTGTTTCAAAGATGATCTCCGTCTTTGGACATCGAGAAAAATGAATCAGAAAATCGTGCTCCCGCTTATACTTAAACGACTTAAACTTAAAAGAAGACTCGACTGTGTTCAACAACTGTTCACGCAGAGATCATACAGACTCAAAAGAATCGAATCGATTTATATATTTCAAAGATTACGAACTACTTTACTCGGATAAGAGCACAACAGTATTCTCATTTAAGGAAATCACCGACGATGGAACGAAACGACGCGCTCGAGATAAACCGTGAGATATCAAAGAAAATCGGCAAACGAAGTTCTGGCATTTCGAGCGCTACTTCATTTTCTCTCGTTAGAAGAGGAGACAAGCTTTTATTGCGTCTCGTGCTGTGCAAATGTTCAAGAAAGAAGGTGAATTAATCGTTGAAAGAAGAAGAAGAAGAAGAAGAAGAAGAATCTTTGCGCAGATGAAGAGAGAAGAAATTGCAAGCTGGTGAAGAGAACTTGTCTCGAAATTTCTACCAGTTAGAAACGGGTTTTGAACGTTGATCACGAAGGCTCGAATCTTCAAGAACCATTTCATCCATATTTTTCATCGATGCGACCTCGAAGAAGCGCCAGCGAAATTACTGTGCTGTTTTAGATGCGGGACATACTCTGCATTGCTTATGCAGTCGATACACTGCATAATCGAGAGGCGGAGAGTGACAAGGTGCTGATAGCCTCCAATCGTACTATTTCTACGAAGATATTCCATCGAGATACGCTGCTCCTCTTAGGAAACTTCTATGTATATCTTTGTGTTAAACAGTTCTTCGTTTTAGATAATTCATTCTTCACACCATCTCCACAGATATTGATTCTTCTCTGTCGAAAATCTTATAAGGATTCATTGTTCTTTCGAAACAAGGTCACAACTACGAGAAGAATATTGATGGAAATTTCGACCAATATTAAGACAGCTGTGTCGTTCGAGCTTCATCTCCAACCCCTGATTTTATCGTTGGTTGGGAAAATATCGTGGAAAAGAGGTGTTGCGTAGAATCATTACTTGTGCATCCGATTGTGAAGCATATCGTGGCTCTTCCAAGTGAACTGGAAAGGAGAAAGAGGAAAGAAGAGGACGCTATTCTTTCCACGTGTTTCGGCTATCGCTGTAAACAGAGGGAAGATAGTGGCGTGAATCTTGGAGAGGTCGATTCTTCTGGTGAAAAAGAATTAGTTCCAGCTTAGTGGCTCAGCACAAGTTCCATCAGACAATGCCAGAGTATCTTCGACGGCCTTTTGAAAGCCTAGGAAATAATAACGAACGTATTTCTTTTTTGAAGTTCTAAGTTTATAAAAAAATCTTGTTTATGTCGAAAAATCATGATAATTCATAATGCAAATATTTTATTAAACAAATCGACGAAAGTGTTGATTAAAAAAAAATATATATATATGTAATACGAGTTCTTCTTTTATGCGCTAATTTTGTGATGATTGAGAGTGAAAGAAAAATACTTGTTTTTTTTTTTTAAATTAATACAATTAATTTCTATCTAAAAATATTAAAATAATAATATTTCAAATAAACGAAAAGGTGTTTTGTAAAAATCGTTAAAGAATTTATTAAAAACAATTTATTATAGATTACAACTTTAAAAGTTTCTAAAAGCTTTCCAAAAGCTTCGACGAAAGTTTATAAATGTTAATCGATGCAGAAAAATATAAAGAACAATACTATATATAATATAGTATATATATATATAATATTTAAAAGTGAACATTTAAATAAAAAAGTATACAGTGAGACAATATTTAAAGAAATAAAAAATAATATCAATAACCACAATTAATTCTCGAACATGTCATCAAATTTGCACTGAATTATCGACTTTAAACAAAAAAACGTGCATCGTTCAAACAAACATATCATCGTTCACACTGTAAAAATAAAAAAGGAAAAAAAAATGATACCAATCTTAAAGTAAACAAGTAACGGGAAGAAGTCGATCGAAAAACGAAAAAAATATAGAAAATATCTCAAAATGAATTGTTGTTACCAAGTTTGCTTATGTAACCAACAAGAGAAATGAGTTGAACAAGAAGAAGAAGAAGAAGAAGAAGAAGAAGAAGAAGAAGTGAAAGAAGAGAAGGAGAAAGAAAAGAAACTCTAGAACGCTTCCACTTCATAGGAGGATTGTTGGCCAGTTGCTTTAAAAGCATTCTGTTACACGCCATATTTTAGAGACGGAAAAAGAGAAGAATAGAATGGAAGATAGGAGAGAAATGGAGAAGCAATAAGTTATAGGATCGATTTCGTTGAAGCGATATTATATTGCCTCGATGAGAAATGGAAGTTGTGGAAGCGCAGGTGTATCGAACAATTGTGTAACATTGTCTTCTCACATTAAAGAAACGTTTCGTTCTATTTTAAATGATTCTCGCGCGAAAGTAATGGCGAGCCGTCATAAAACACGTTTCTCGGAGAAGTTCTCCAACTTGCGCGTCTTCCATTCCTCGAAATTTCAATTTCGAGGATTAACACCAGCATCATTTTTTATTATATAAAAAAACATGAATGAAAGATCGATGAAATTTTGCAAAATCGTTGAAAAAAAAAATTTATCAGAAAAGAAGCAAGACAATTGATTCACATTTTTTCTTATCAACGATGAAGAAAGGAAAATTGGAAATACGCGTGGTGTGATGAAAAAAAGACAAAATGAATCGATGAATTGAAGAAGTCTGATTTTCGTACATTCTCTAATTCGACGTTTTACACGGCAACTCGAAACACGTGGAATTCGAGGAAAATTATTTCCATCGCCGCGCGATTACACGCGATTCTCGTGTTCGTGAAAAATTAAAATTAAAAGAGAATTTTGTTCCTTTTCTACATATTGTTTAAAATGTGATTTTAAATTGTAAATGTGATTATACACGGTTTAAGAAACATCGTTCACGATATGCGTATGTACCACATAATTTCTCATTATTAATTATTATTTCGTTTTGATTTCCATTTAGGCAAATGATGCCATTGCCATTTCACACTGATCTAACATTTTTAATAACAGAATGCGATCTATTGGAAAATATAAAATTGCACATCACTGTGAAATTGCAATGAAATCTCGTTCGAATTTTAAATCAACTTGTCATGGAAATTATTAGCAGAATATTTGATATATTTCATTTCAAAATGATTCTCTTATTTATTATTTTAACGAAATAGCATTTTTGCTTGCCAGTAAGTTTCCATATGAAATTGGACTAATTTTTAGTGATCGATGTTCATTACTCGTCAGATAGGTTTATGTACATGTAGATACAAATGGATACATGTATATAATATACGTCGTGACGCAAATAATTGGTATTAATTAACAGTCAAATTTCAAAATTAATATTATTTGTATTCGAGATAGATATACGATTTTAGAATTCTTTAACTTAAATCCTTTCCATAGTTGAAGATTACACATCAATTTGAAAAATTGGATTATATAGAAACTGACTAACATAAAATGAGTAACGTACTGTTTGAAAGGTTTTTAATTTTACGATTAGAATATATGGTTAATATTTATCCTTCGAAAAATTAAATAATTAGCTTTGGTTCACGATTTAATTTTCCAATGTAAAAATCAAGAAAACGAAAAAAAAACATTCAGAAAGAATGTACTGTACACGTAAATACGTAGATTAGGATATCTCGTTTTCAAGAACACTTGATATTATAAATTGAATTCGATAGAAACCAAATTGTACCTCACAGAGACAAGAGACGAAATCTGGAATTTGGTTACATCTCACACATAGGTGATACGTGTAATTTATGCATGTTTCCATCATGCGATAAGCCTTGTGACATATCTTGCACATGACAAATAGTTGCCAACATTATTAATCCGATGATTCAATATGAATCCAACGTGTTCGATGGAACGTTAGACATTTTTCAATAATGAGAGAACTTGGTCTTAC